AGACACTGTGTGTCTGTGTCATCTTATATTCTGTTTTATTATTTTGGAGCTATGGGGCTGAAGACGTAAGCATGCAGACATTTACCAGGAAGTTGAGAGACAGTTCCCTAGGGAATGAAGACTATCAAGACTTCGCTAGTCTCTGCTGAACAGTGGCTACTAGCTGTCATATTTTGGAAGGCAAAAATTTCATTCTTGGAGCATGAATGAATGCAGAGGGCAGAACTAGAGGTACTCTGGTGTAGGCATGGAGAGGCCTTCAGAACTGGGAAGGTCTTTTTGGCTGTATCCTTTCTTGATCCAGTGGCCATCAGGATAAGGCCTCCCTGATGACTCTGATTGGTTAGAGTTCTCCCAGAACCTTTTATCCTTGGTAGTCCCTCAGGATCCATCAGCTTTTAAGGCTCCAGGAGCTTTATAGAGCCTGCCTGGGGAGTGGCTATACCTCTGACTCATGTGTATAGGAAAAATAACTCCAGTTCATTGAGTGGCAACTTGTGGCAGTTGTGAACATCCCAGGAGCAGTCTGGGGTCAAGGGGCCTCCATGTTTGCTATTAGAACCCCTTAAACAATTTAGTGTGCTATAGGTGAAAGACTATCGATTCAATTGGTGCAGGCAATTTATTCCTCTTTTTTGATGTTTTTGAGTGCCTGATTCTGACCCAAGGTGCTTTGTTTTGAAACAGGGACCTATGTATCCCAGACTGGTCAAGGATGATGAACTACTGATCTAATCTTTTTTTCTCCACTCTTCAGTGCTGGGATTATGGGCATATACAACCATGGCCAGTTTTATGTGGTAGTGGGGATAGAATCCAGGACTTCATGCATGCTAGGCAAGCACTCTATCAACTGAGCTACACCCCCAATCCTCTGACCCAAAATCTCTGAAAGCAGAAACCAGGTTATGACTCTCAATTGGAATAGTATCTAGCCCAATGCTACTCCTACATACAAGCTTCAAGCCTGCTGGGCTGTGACCTTCAAGTTAGGAACCACATGTTTTTTTTTTTCTTTTTCCTTTTAATTAATTAATTGTGGTGCATGTGTGTGTGTGTGTGTGTGTGTGTGTGTGTGTGTGTGTGTAGGTTCAGAGGACAGATGGGAGACAGTTCTCTCTTTCCACCATGTGGGTTCTAGGGATTGAACTCACCTCATCAGGCTTGGCCACAGGTGCCTTTGCTCACCGAGCTATCTCCCCAAACCCTGGAACCACATCTTGAACATGATTGCTATTCTGTAGTGCCTAACTCAGACTCTGACCCATAGTGGTCATTTCAACAACTCTGTAGAGTGAATAAATGGCAATAAAACTGGTAAGGATGATAGTAGAAACAATAACAGGCAAAAAGATGCTTTGTATAGAAGGCATCTCCCCTTAGCATCGCCCAGTTTCTCTGAAGCCTTGACTGTGGACTCTTACATTAGTAAAAGCAGACAAGGGACAATCTTCAGATGAGGTCTTTATCTTCCCATCAAGCCCATGCCAGAGGAAGCTATCAGGGACAGAGATGTGAACAAGAGACAGCTGGTTGGGCATGATACCTAGTAAAGAGAGAACAAGAGTTCTATGCATGCCTGCCCTCTATGCCTTCAGCTAGGGGCAACTTCAGTGTCTTTTGCTAGCAACTTATCAGGAAAGACCATAACTTTCTGGACTCAGAGATTCAATTCTTCAGCTGTACCGTCTTTAGTGGCATTTTTTTTCCAATGTCCAGGCACTCAATCATGTTACCTTAGCTTTGGAATGAAGTTTAAACCTTGTGTCTTCTAGACTACTCATCTAATTCTTCTTTCCAATGTGTGAATATATCTATTAAATAAGGTGACAGTTTACCCTTAGGCTAAGTCTGTAAGGATGATGAAGCAGGGGTGATTCTGGCACAGAGAGAGGAAGCCACTTGCCTAATATGTTTCAAAATACCTCAACCCAAGGCTTTTATCACTATCACACATAAAGCTCAACCAATTAAAAGCCTCTCATCATTGTCTGAGACGTATAAGGATATATGTACATGTGAGAGGTCCTAAAATAGTATGTATTATCAGACAAAAATTCAGGAGGCCACCCAGTTCACCCTTTTGCTCTCAGGCAACCTCAATGGTATAGAAGTTGAATGTTGGTTGGGGTCAAAGGGCCTAGGCTGTAAGTCCCAAGTCTTCTGTTTACTAGCTGGAGGATTTTGGGCAAGTAGTCTAGCCACTATAACCTCTTACAGAGAGAAGACTAATATTTTTCATTTTCTACTTTCTATGTCTAATGTAAGAAATAAAATGATGCATGTGAAAGATGTAAAGCACAAGACAGATTTCCACACAGACCTGGATCTTTGGAGAATCTATATAAAATATAAATAATAATCCTTTTATGTTCATGAAAATGTTTCATAAGTCTAGAGATCAGGGCTCAGCTCTATAACCAGGCTGCCTGGGTAACCTTGAGATGTTGCTTCTCTCCAAAGCCTCAGTGAAGAAATGATACCCCCTTCACAGATGTGGTCATGAGCACTAAATGAAATCATATATGCACAGTACTTGACATGTACCTGGCATAGAGAAAAGAATTCAATGAACTTTAGCTGTTACTATTATTGATTTTATTAGTGAGGGTGTGAGGCAGGGCAATGCAATAAAATGTGATAGAGGTCTGAGCTAGGAATCAAAATGACTCACTTTGAACTTCAGTTTTCCTACTTGTACCATGACAGGAATTTGTGCCCTGCCCCCATAGTCATGAGGATTTTTCTGTTCTGCTTCTTCTTTTTTTTTTTAATTTAAAGACAGAGTCTCACTATGTAGCCATGGCCGACCTGGAACTTGTTATGTAGACCAGACTGCCCTCAAACTCACAGAGATCTACTTGCCTCTGCCTTCTGAGTGCTGGGACTAAAGGCTGATACCACCACACTCAGCTCTTGTATTTTTTTTTTTTTCAGTCTTTTTGAGACAGGGTCTCCCTGTAGCCCCAGCTGTCCTGGAACTCACTAGGTAGACCAGGCTGGCCTTGAACTCACAGAGTTCTGCCTGCCTCTGCCTCCTGAGTGCTGGTATCAAAGGTGGGCGCCACCATGCCTGGCTGTATTTTTTTTTTTAAGTGTATGAAATTGACACCCCCCTACCCCTGTGCCAAGAATCAAACCTAGAGCCTTGAGCATGCTAAATAAGTGTTGTACCACTGACCTCCATTCTGAGACCTGAGATATTTTTTAACCTGGGCTAAGTTGATAATATGAGTTTTTCATCAGTTCATCAGGGTTTGTTCATTCCTATCGAATTTGATAAGATTGTCCTCCTCATGGAAAAGGAGTACAGCTTTCTTCATTTAAAAGAATCTGCATGTCAGATCTTGAAGCAAATCCTTCCAACCTGAGCATAGTGTCTTTGCAAAGAATGTCTTTCTACAGAATGTTCCATTGCCTCAATTTGTTCTGTGTACGTAAGCTAATTTTAATATTCAACCAACTCTTGAATTACCACTTTGAGTATGATCTGCTTTCAATATTAAAATCCCCTGGTGACCCTCGCAGCACGCTTCCAGTTTACCTCCTTTTCTCTGATTAGTTAGTGTGGCTTCAAGGGAATACCTTCCTTTTAACATTAAACCGGGCAAAAACCAAAAATAGAAAGATAAATCGGTAGCAGGATCAAAATTAGAATTCATAACTAAATAGAATCTAGAGGGAATAAGCCAATTACTTGGATGGTCCCTTATCACAGACAATCCAGGGTTGACTGATTTTGCATTTTTTTTCCACATATAGAACAAAATGCCGAGAGTAATATTTTTTCTCTTGAGAAGGAATACATTTAATAGTACCTTAAATACTGTCTCCTTCATCCCCCAAATACCTTTATATATATTATAGTGTGTGATTTGCACAACTGCATAACTGTATATATTCTCTTTGGGGATCATCCAGACTGATTTGTAGGTCAGAGAGCAGTGAGCAGGGAAGACCAAGATTTACTAATGGGGTCACGATCAAACTTGGGGCAAATTTCTCACTTTGTACTGCCGAAGTTGACTTACAATTGATGGCTCCGAAGGGAAATTCCCGTTAGGAGGCTGGAGAGATGACTCAGCTGTTAAGAGCACTGACTGCTCTTGCAGAAGACTGGGGTTCGAATTACACGGCGGCTAACAACCGGCTGTAACTCCAGTTCCAGGGAAATCCAACGCCGTCTTCTGACCTCTGCGGGCACTGCATGACATGGGTGTACTTACATACATGCATGTATAACCCTCATACACATAAAATAAAAATAAAGTTAAAAAAAATTAAGTCCCAAGTTAATTTAGCAACAAACAGCTGTTTTTATTAAGGCTGAACCAGCCTCCGGAAGAGATTCGGAAACGTCAAAAAGACAAATGTGGGTGTCATATGAGGCAAGGTGGCCCTTAAATGCACGGAATTCAATGCAAAGTTCATGCAAATGACATGCAAACGTTGTATTAATTTGTAGAATCTCAGCTTGGAGTTTGCAAGCAGCAATGAAACCTTATAGGGATTTAAAGCTGATGTTTTTAGACTTTCTCAGTCCCACTACAACTCAACTGCTTGGAGTCTGACACTCCGCCCCCTATAAAGATTTCACTAGTGCTTGATTCCAATCCACATCCAGCCCCCGCCCACTAAAAGCCTGATGTCACGTGGCATCATATTTGCATACTACCTGGGACAGCGTGTGACGCTCCCACTCTCTGAGCCTTCTCATTGGCGGTTCTGCAAAACCAGCCCTCTTCCTGGCGGACCAATTAGTGGCCTTCAGGACGTAAAAAGATTAGGAGGAGGTGGGGTCTTGGGGGGGGGGGGTGGATGGCTAGGCACGTCAACCAATCATCCTCGGAAAAGAAAGAGCCCCGCCGTGGATTGGTTGAGGGTGAGGTCCTGGGCCCCTGTAGGCCAATTAGAGGTCTGGGCTGAGGCCTGGCTCCGCCTACAGGGCCTATAAGTAGCGGTGCAGGGGTTGGGGGCTGCGTGGGGCTCGCTGTGGGGCCTAGGCGGAAAGTAGCCGGGCGGGCCATGGCTGGGGCCGCAGCGGGCGGCAGAGGCGGAGGGGCCTGGGGGCCGGGGCGCGGAGGGGCCGGGGGGCTCCGGCGGGGCTGCTCTCCACCAGCGCCCGCTGGTTCCCCCCGGGCCGGGTTGCAGCCGCTCAGGGCTACGGTCCCCTTCCAGCTGCAGCAGCCGCACCAGCGCCGGGACGGGGGTAGCCGTGCAGGTGAGCCGGGTCCGGAGAGGGTGCTGGGGGAAGGACCCGTTGGGGGAAGGGGTGCGTTTGAGGGAAAGGGTACCAGGAGAAGTGGACCCGGATGAGGGAAGAGAAAGGGGGCGCGCAGCGTGCGCGAGGGCGGAGAGAGCTAGGTCAAGCAGCCGCTAACTTGGGGAGCAACGCCAGGACCTTTGGTGCTGGGAGTCGGGCCGAGAGGTGAGGACCGGGCAGATGGAGGCTGATTTCGGGGGGCGTAACCGAAAAGTGGTCAACAGTCGTCCCGGACTGAGAAGCGCAGGGGTCGGGGCGAGAAATGATGGGGGCGCCCTGGGCCGAGGGCTTCGCTGGGAGCCGGAGCCGGTGGGCGCTGGACGCTTGCACGGGGAGGGGGAGGGGCATGGAGGAGAGCCCGGTTGAGCCATGTGTTACTTCTCCAGCTTGAGTTTGGCCCCAGCGTCCTTTCCTACGGCTCTGGAGTTCTTTTCTCCACCGCTTCACGTGCGCTTTCCTTTATGCCCCCTCCTGGAGTAGATTTGATCTCAGCCCGTTGGAGTAAGTTAGTTTAACGGCTTTTACTGTGGTGCAAACGCCCCGCTGTTCCCGATTCCCTACATTCCTCTCGGTGTGGCCCAGAAGTTGTATGTTCCCAGATCATTGACCTGCTTAATATGGCTGTCTCATTCCAATCATCTTCTGCGTGTGTGCATGGGTATAGGACTCAGGCAGTTTGCACCCTACTTCTCCCCCTCACACCCTCAAGGTAGCTTTGACCTGAACATTCCCAGCCAACGTGGCAGTGGGGTGAGGGCTACAATCAAGTATGCTGTGGCAAATACTCCACTTTCTGAACAGTGCCGAAATAGTTTCTTAATAGCAGCTTGATGTGGTGGGTGTGGGGAAACGAGGGAGGAGCAAGTTTAACCTTGCTTTCACGCCCAAAGCTGTGATGGGACCCACAAATGCAGGCAATTCTGGAACGGAAAAGGAACCTACTTGCATGAGGAGGTTGGCAATAAGTTGAAAGTGAAGCTTGCATTTGATTCACACCAGATGTGAAAAGATCATTGCACACTTCCTAAGCCTGAGTCTGTACCACATGTACAGAAGTCGTGGTCCCTGCCATCTTAGCGCTTGGCAACTTCTCTAAACCCCTCTCTTAGGCTTTTTAGAGATTACTGAGCTTAGATGTTACATAGCCCCCTCCTGAAGGTATTGCTGCTACAGGAAGGAGTCTGCTAGGCAGGAATGGGCTTCATCAGGTCTTTGAGGTAGAAAGCCAAGTCTGTCTGGACCTCACTGTATGTGTTAGTATCACATCCTGGAACACAGAAACTTGGTCAAATCTGGTACCAAGATGGCGACTGAGTAGTAAAAGTATGTGTAGAATCTGGTGGTGTAGAAGACAATACCCAGACAAACTCATGCCTATCATCAACTATAAAGCAAACCACAAAGACTACAAACCTGTTGGTTTTGTTTGGGCTTCCCTGAAACCAAGGAAAGTTAGCAGAGCAGCAAGCGCCAGAACCTTAGTCACTTTTAGTAGAAATCAACAGAAAGCTTTGCCTGTGTAGGAGCTAGAAATTGTTTAGCAGTCATATTTTAAGAGCAGTTATTCTGTGACTCCCACAGAGCTAATATTAAAAAGGAAAGCACTGGTGACTGCTGTGCAAAGGGGGAAAATGTAGAGTTGGATGCTTGGGTTTTCTCATGGCCTGCTCCTTTTGCAGGGTCAGAAGGCCCTAAGACATTGATAAAAATATTGGAAACTGGAGCACTGCATAGGTTGTCAGATGACTTAGGGCAGAATGAATAGATTCTTATTATGTATTGGATTGATCCATTGTTTCTCCACCTATTAATATCCCAGCAGTATTAAAAAGACATTTGCGCACGCCTTTAATCCCAGCACTTGGGGGGAAGAGGCATGCTGATCTCTGTGATTTTGAGGCCAGCCTGGTCTACATAGTTTTAGGTCAGCTAGAGCTACATGGTGAGACACTGTCTCAAAAAACAAACAAAAAACCCAAAAGTAAAAAAAAAATAAGACATTTGCCTATGGGTAGGATTATCTATAGATTTTCAGTAAGGTAGGAGAGGCGAGGATAAAAGGACAGAGTAGTCTGAACCCCATTGGTCATCTTTGTGGCTAGATACTATTAGGGGGCTGGCTGTACCTGAACTTCGGCTGAAGCATAGCAGGTCTTCTGCATGTTAGCATCAACTTTTATGCTATCTTCAGGTTGTTTTTATTCTTTGGCCTTGGGAAGTGACAGGAGTGGTTTCCTCTAGGCCATTAGGACATTTGTAACATAGGAAGATTCCTTACTATCACAGACCCTCATGGGAATGGCCTTGGTAGCCTGGGTTTTGAATTCAGGTTCTTGGATTTAGTAGCTGGTGTTCTTGGAAGTTTCTTGACTTTTGTGTCTTACTTTCCTCATCTGTAGACAATAATTTCTACATCATAAGATCCAATTGAGTTAATAGAGTCCTTAGAACAGTGCCTGGCACACGCAGGGTGCTATAAAAAGCTGTGCTGCTGCTTGTATTGCTGTTACTCCCTGCACCGTGGTAGCCACAGCCACGGTGAGAGCACTGTTGGCGAGAGCCCATTGCCTTTTCAGGCTTCAAAGAGCAAACCCAGATTGGTCTGAAACCAGTAGTGCAGGTTTCAGAATTCCAGGGCCTCCTTTTGCATTTTTATTCCCTCATCTTTTAAAATGAGCTTTTTAACTGGACCACAAACCCAACTGTTTAAAAAGCCATGTATGTGAGCTGGGACTGGGTTTTAGGAACAATTAAGTGTCTCACTGTTTCTGTTTCCCATCCCAAAATATTGTAATACTGCCTGTGTAGTTATCTCGTACCGCACACCCTGCTGTGTTCTTGACAAGATAGATTAGGCCTTGTATAAAGGGTTATGGTGCAAAGAGCGGGTTTACCTTCTGCAACCATTCATCCAGAAGGGGATGTCTTCATAAAGTGAAGAACAGCTTCATTTTTAAGAGCCTGGGCTAGGAGAGAGGAAGGCTGGGAGAGCTCAGAGAAAAATGAGGGCTAATTCTTCAGAAAGCTAAGAGCCACTTGTGGGTAATTGAAACCCAAGATAGATTTCTTACTACAGTTGCCCCCTGAATTAAATTCTCTTCTGTGTCTGAGGCCAGTTGGAGGCTGCTGACTTTGGGCTCTTCTGGGACCAATGATGGCTAAAACAGGATTAGGAAGTGAACTTTTCTAGATTCCAGTCTTGCCTATCTTGTTAAGTGCTCCATATCCCTAGAATAAAAATAATGGTTTTGTTGTTTAGTTTGAGGTACTGGAGCTTGAACCCAGGGCTTTGTATGTGCTAAACAAACATCATGACAGTGAGCTATAGCCCTGCCCCATGAAGAGAGCTTTTATTTAAACTTTGCTAATCATTTCTCCAGTGGACTTGAAAAAACCAAATGCTGTCATAGAACCATAATCCACCAGAACCTTCTTAAACCAGGATTTGGTAATTATAAAATTTATAGACCATATCTGACCCTGTGCTTGTTTTTGTAAATAAAGTTTTATTAGAACACAACCACACTCTTTAGGCATTAGCTATGACTTTTTTCATGTTGTCAATGGAAGACTTGAGTTGCTGTGACAGAGGCTACCCTACAATTCTAAAATATTCACTATGTGGCTCTTTTTACAAAAGTTTGTCTCCTTTGTCTTGAACAGTGTACCTGACTCTTACTTGTATGTAAAGATCAGTTTCAAATGTGCGTATTGTATACTTCCTCATAAACTCTTAAAAGGGCAGAACAAACTAACAATCCTGTATCCCTACTCTTATTTTAGGCAAAAGGAACCATCTGTTTCCAGTCAATTCTCAGTCTTTGTGGCAGATTAGTATGTGTGAATACCGACTCCCCACCCCCACAGTTGTCAGGTGACATGTGTTCAGTAGACATAGCTCATTTGAATTTATATAAAAGCTTAACTGTTAAGCAAATTTGTTCCACCTCTGCCCTTACGGCCCCCTCCCCTCAACCTAACAACTCAAACTGCGGAGAATACATTTCAAAAGTCAGATGGAAATCACTTGAGGCATATCTCCTGTTTTGAATTTTTCTCATTTACCTTTTAGATTTCTGAACAGATCATTGATGGCTGGTAGTAGTCATAGTTGCCCTAAAACATTAGCTTCCCCCCACAGGGACATAGGGAGGGTCAAATGTCGATTTGGCTCCCTGTGTGGCTGTTTCATGATTATAAGGCAGCATTGTTATTAGCAATACTATTGCTAATTATTAAACTCCTTTGCTTGCACTGTTTTCAAAACATGGCCTTTGGGGGATGAGTGTTTCAGTAGGTATGAAATCATACCAAGAAGACTATATTAGCGGTCCTGAGAGAAAGCGCTCATCAGACTGTGGGCCTTCTGGTCCATGGTGCCATGAACAGCCTAAATAGAGTTGGAGTTTTCTTTGCCTAGGAATCTTCTTGCTATGATGAGGCTTGGAGGTGCAGTTAAAATCCTTAAAGAGCCACAGTTTCCCTTCTGTAACCTGTGATTGAGACAGCTTCTATTTGGCCCTTCTTCAGGCCCTTCCTAGCCAGACACTGCTAACTGCTGCCTTCCATAGCTTTGCCAGATCCAGGCTTGTGGTCAGTAAAATGCTTTGCTGAAGGATCTGACCCTTAAATGTTATCAGCAGTGACATCCTTGAAATGAGGGGCCTCTTATGAGAGTTGCCTGCTTTTTGAGTACCCAGAAGAGTGCAGGTCCATGTATTCTTCAGGTTTTCTTTGGATAGCACAGGATTAGATAGTACGGGACGTTCTTACATAGCACAAAACTAAGAGTCTTAAACCTTTAAGGTCAAAAGAGGAGGAAGAACATTGTGAGGTATGGTGGTCAGAGGACATTGTTCTCCCTTGTTTCCAGATATGAATCCTAGGAAATCTGAGGCAGAATTACAACATTTTCATAGGAATGAGCTGGAGACATGGATCAGGGGTTAAGTGTATAT